GGCCATGGCTGGCGGCGTGGCGGGGGGAGGGGAGGGGGAGGGCGGCGGCAGGGACGGCGTGGGGGGCGGCGGGTTTATGAATAGTGGGGCGTGGGGCGGGGGGCGGACGCAACGAGGCCGGAGACCGCGGGCCGGTGTGTTGGGTCCGTCGTCCGTCAGACTGTATCTGTCAGCGAGTCCGGTTGGCTGGGTCGGACCTGGGAATCCACGAGATTCCTGCGAAGGCCGGGCCAATTAGCGGGGTCCCCCGAACCGCGGCACGGACGGTGCGTTGAGTCCGTCCGTCCGTCAGCCCGTACGAATGCTTTCACTTTCGCCTCTTCTTCGGTTGCCCACGCTCTACTTTTGTTGCCGATCGCACGGTTAGGATTTCGCGTCATCAACACACCTACCTACATCACCTATGATGTATAGTAGTATTCTATTTTACTTTATGTTTTTTATCATAAAAAGACCTAAATAGGTAGATTCGACTAATCTCGGCCATCGAACAATGTCAATCCAACGATCTAGATTGGTCCAGCGAAGAACGCTCAATGTTTAGCATCCAATTAATATCATGCTAAATATCAATAAATAAATAAATATTTCCCCTAATATCAGCGTGCAATTAATATTCTACCATATATTCACCGAATATCGGAGCACGCATTTAGTGGTCATTAACAAGGTGAAATTTTGTGCCCAAAGTTGTATTTATGGATAGAGATCATAAGGAAAGAAATTAATTTGCGATTCCATCCTATAAAATAAAGAGGATACCTTCACAAAATGTTGCATACGATTTCATATTTTTAGGGGGTATTTAGATGTCGGGTAATGACTTAGTGTGGTTGTATCATCTATGTATACAGACTGAATGAAAAAAAATCTGTTTTTCCAAAAAAAACAACCGTTAGGAATAACTTGGTAATTGCTCGTGCGTTGCTACGGGACAACAGACAATTTTAGTATTTTTCACATAAATCATGTTTAACATATAGTTTTACGATCCTCGTGTATATCAAACAACATAATTCGACTACAAATCATTCAGTCCAACACAGCTTTGCAAAAGATCATCTTGTTTTTTTTTCATCACAACAATCTGTATAACACACATACGTATAAATGAGAAACAATAGTAGAGGAACTAAAAATAATAGTAGTAGAAGTACACGCTCCCATAGCTAGCACACAACTTAATTTTGTTTATCTATGCGTATGCATTAGCAGCAACGGTATTAGACACATGCCCCTCTCTGTTTATGCATTAGCGGCAACGGTATTAGACACATGCCCCTCTTTGTTTATCCATTAGCAGAAGCAGCACATCAGCGGCATCACTCGGTCACGAAAAATAATCGCTCCATCTCTCTCTCTCTCTCTCTCATCACGTGAGGCCTGGTTAATCTTGCGAAATCATTCACAACTCCGGCTGCTGCTCCTCGTCGGCATCACAATTTCGCCTCAGGATAAAACTGCTCTGGCCCCTGCGCCTTTCTCACGTACACACACGCTCTCTCTCCCATACGGAGCAGCAGAAGCCAGCAAGCCCACGCCGGCGTCGGCCTCCTGCCCGTCCCTCTCTTCTCTCCCTACCTCGAAACAAACTGACCCCCTCCAGCAGCGGCAGATAGCACCTTCCTTTTAGCTCCTCCCGGTATCCAGCCTCGGCGGCCATGCAAACGCGCGGATCCAGAAAAGACACTTTGTTCTGCTTGATTTGAGAAAAAAAATGGAGGGAAGGGAACGAGCCTATAACGCGGATGAGAAGGATCGTGGTGGATTGGCGGAGGAGATCAAAGGCGTGGCGGCCCCAGGTGGATGGCGGCGGGAAACCCTAGTATGCATTAGGAATACAAAGAGAGATGGGAGAGATCGTGTGCATGCCTGCATGGAGGAGTTTCGGCTGAGAATTAGGGAGACAAATTAGAGCATAATTTGAGGGTTTTTGTTAACACGAGGCTGCTTTTCTTCTTGAAAAACTACGAAAGGAAAATCAGAGATGAAAGAGGTGGAAAAAAATCAAAACGTAGCGATGCGGAGGAGGTCGGACGTAGCCCATGACGTAAGATGGGAAACGAAACATTCCGTTCCTTTCAGGTAGTATATACTTGTTGGGTTTCGTAGTAATTTCAAAAAAAATCCTACACACACGCAAGATCATGTGATGCATAGCAACGAGAGGGGAGAGTGTTGTCTACGTACCCACGCAGACCGACTGCGGAAGCGTTGACACAACGTAGAGGAAGTAGTCGTACGTCTTCACGATCCAACCGATTAAGCACTGAAACTATGGCACCTCCGAGTTCGAGCACACGTTCAGCTCGATGACGATCCCCGGACTCCGATCCAGCAAAGTGTCGGGGAAGAGTTCCGTCAGCACGACGGCGTGGTGACGATCTTGATGTACTACAGTAGCAGGGCTTCGCCTAAACACCGCTACAGTATTATCGAGGACTATGGTGGCTGGGGGCACCGCACACGGCTAAGGAATAGATCACGTGGATCAACTTGTGTGTTTCTGGGGTGCCTCTGCCTCAGTATATAAAGGACTAGAGGGGGGAGGCTGGCCGGCCAAGGTGTGGCGCGCCAGGAGAGTCCTACTCCCTCTAGGAGTAGGATTCCCCCCCCCCCCAATCCTAGTTGGAATAGGATTCGCGGAGGGGGAAAAAAGAGGGAGGGGGCCGGCCACCTCTCCTAGTCCTAATAGGACTAGGGGAAGGGGGAGGCGCGCAGCCCATGTAGGGCTGCCTCTTCTCTTTTCCACTAAGGCCCATCATGGCCCATTTAGCTCCCGGGGGGGTCCGGTAACCTTCCCGGCACTCCGGTAAAATCCCAATTTCACCCGGAACACTTCCGACATCCAAACATAGGCTTCCAATATATCAATCTTTATGTCTCGACCATTTCGAGACTCCTCGTCATGTCCGTGATCACATCCGGGACTCCGAACAACCTTCGGTACATCAAAATGCATAAACTCATAATATAATTGTCATCGTAACCTTAAGCGTGCGGACCCTACGGGTTCGAGAACAATGTAGACATGACCGAGATACGTCTCCGGTCAATAACCAATAGCAGGACCTGGATGCCCATATTGGCTCCTACATATTCTACGAAGATCTTTATCGGTCAGACCGCATAACAACATACGTTGTTCCCTTTGTCATCGGTATGTTACTTGCCCGAGATTCGATCGTCGGTATTCCTATACCCAGTTCAATCTCGTTACCGGCAAGTCTCTTTACTCGTTCTGTAATACATCATCCCGCAACTAACTCATTTAGTTGCAATGCTTGCAAGGCTTAAGTGATGTGCATTACCGAGAGGGCCCAGAGATACCTCTCCGACAATCAGAGTGACAAAACCTAATCTCGAAATATGCCAACCCAACATGTACCTTTGGAGACACCTGTAGTACTTCTTTATAATCACCCAGTTACGTTGTGACGTTTGGTAGTACCTAAAGTGTTCCTCCGGTAAACGGGAGTTGCATAATCTCATAGTTATAGGAACATGTATAAGTCATGAAGAAAGCAATAGCAACATACTAAACGATCGGGTGCTAAGCTAATGGAATGGGTCATGTCAATCAGATCATTCTCTTAATGATGTGATCCCGTTAATCAAATAAAAACTCATTGTTCATGGTTAGGAAACATAACCATCTTTGATTAACGAGCTAGTCAAGTAGAGGCATACTAGTGACACTTTGTTTGTCTATGTATTCACACATGTATTATGTTTCCGGTTAATACAATTCTAGCATGAATAATAAACATTTATCATGATCATTAGGAAATAAATAATAACTTTATTATTGCCTCTAGGGCATATTTCCTTCAGTCTCCCACTTGCACTAGAGTCAATAATCTAGATTACACAGTAATGATTCTAACACCCATGGAGCCTTTGTGCTGATCATGTTTTGCTCGTGGAAGAGGCTTAGTCAACGGGTCTGCAACATTCAGATCCATATGTATCTTGCAAATCTCTATGTCTCCCACCTGGACTAGATCCCGGATGGAATTGAAGCGTCTCTTGATGTGCTTGGTCCTCTTGTGAAATCTGAATTCCTTTGCCAAGGCAATTGCACCAGTATTGTCACAAAAGATTTTCATTGGACCCGATGCACTAGGTATGACACCTAGATCGGATATGAACTCCTTCATCCAGACTCCTTCGTTCGCTGCTTCCGAAGCAGCTATGTACTCCGCTTCACATGTAGATCCCGCTATGATGCTTTGTTTAGAACTGCACCAACTTACAGCCCCACCGTTTAATGTAA